CTCTCTACCTACTTCTCTGACTACTTCTCCATCACTTGCGAAGTTCAGAGCGGATCTCAAGACCCATCTGTTTTCAAAATTCATTGAGGAGCGCTGTTGAACATCGCGAAAATAAGCTAATTGATTGATTAAACAGTTGTCATTATATATTACCATATATATCTGTATTATATTATATTATATATATTAGTGTATTACTGAACTTGTACTATAGTTCAATTTTTGACATGTGGGACTGATAAAGTGAATAAGACTTGCAGTTTTTTACTAGATTTATGTAGTACACAATTTTTAAACATGAAATTGTATAATTTTTTAATAAAAATTTTTTCGGTTTTTATATATAGTATCTTGAATTAATGGAATAATTATCATTATGTATTACAGAACACACACTAAAATTAAATGAAGCGCTTCACTATTAATAAAATATATTAATCAACTTCCTGATTCTTCACAGTGATTATTGTTTTCTAAAAAACATTCTCATTTAAAGAGCTTAATGGCTGCCGGACTGCAGACGTTAACATTTTTATAAGTTCGCAATCTTGTTATTAGTTTTTTATAATCATGTCCGTTACAGTCGGCGCTTTAAAGCCGTTACTTTTCAACTATTTTTGTCATTTGCTCAAACTGGACCTTAACTTTTTTATTTTTTAAAATTGATGTTTTTTCTGTTTCAAACTTGTCTAGTAAAAATAATCACTGGATCGGAAATTGAAGTAAAGTTAGGGTAAGTGAATTACGTTCTGATTGATTCGTTATTAAATTGAAGTGCTTAACCAAGCAATCAGATTAAAAAAGCTAGTTGGTCTTGTAGTGATTGATTGATTGATTTTATTAACAGCAAAATTAAAAAATTTCTGGAGATTATTAATTACTAAAATTTAAAAATTAATAACATTAAGTTAGTGTAATAATATCAAATGATTAATTTAAAGTCTGCTAATTAGATAATATAATCAAATTATTATTCAATAAAAGATCTTTTATAATTTTAATTTTTATGTACATCTCATGATGGTCATGGCCATTTTTACTATTTTATTTTAGCGTTTTTTTTCAACTTTTTGGTGTAATGTCTATTTTTAAATTACATTTCAAAGTCAGGTGTTTAATTTTTTCAGTTTTTTACTTTAGTTGCTTGTTAAGTTATATTTAGCAATTAACTAAGATAAGATCTAATACGAAATTCCATTTTTTAATAATTTACAGTTGAAGATATCTTTTTTAAAAAGCATGTGAATTAAAAATTTAATTCTAGAAAGTAAGAAGATCATCTGTGAGTCTTAAAAAGTACAAGTATCTGATCATAAATAACGAGTTCATCTCCTACCTACCTAATAACACGTCAAAAAGATGGGGTCATGTTTCAGTTCTTCGTCATCACAGACCAACAAATCACAGCCCCCGAAGAGTTCAACGAATTTCAAACCAATACAAAATAATCAAATCCACAATCCATACCCCATGCCGAGTCCTAACAATCAAATGCAGATTATGCAACAGCCGCAACAGTCTAAAAAACGTTAGTTACTTTAGAGTTGGAATAGTTAGTTTAGTGATTGTTGGTTAGTTAGGGAATGAGTTACCCTATTTAGTTTTTTTTGGTTTAATTAGTGATGGCAGGGATGGGTTTAATGCTGTAGTACTTATTCATTTTTGAATACTTTTAGTTAGGTGTTCAATTAGTTGGTAGCCTCAATTATATAATTTAATTTGTTAATTAGATGAATGAATTTTTGTATGATTGAATGAATAATCAAATGAGTGACTGACTGACTGACTGAATGAATGAATGAATGAATGAATGAATGAATGAATGAATGAATGAATGAATGAATGACCAAGATAAATATGTAGGTTTTTTTTCAATTTAGTTATGATCTTACTTAAATATCAACTACTAAAAATAGCTCAGAAGATTGTAAAAGCTCTTTACGATTATGACGCCCGGCAGATCGACGACTTGGGTTTTAGAAAAGGAGATAGACTGGCCATCATTGGGACCAAGTTATTATTATTATTTTATTATTATTGTTGTTGTAGTTGTTAGTTGTTGTTGCTATGATTTTTAATAAATATTATTAATCAATATATTTTTTAAAATAATTTTTTAAAATATTTTTTTTGGCGGTAATAATTGTTCTCACTCCTTCCCTAAGTGACATGGACGACTGGTGGCTTGCCCGGCACACGACCAACGGACGCCAGGGCTACATTCCTAGCAACTACGTCGTCCTCGATGACAATAGGCCCGAGTCACAAGAGTTAGCAACCAGATCACCTGTTCATTCATTCATTCCATTAATTCATTCATTCAGTTATTCATTCATTCATTCGCTCATTCAATCATTCATTTGCTCATTCATTCATTCATTTGCTCATTCATTCATTCATTTGCTCATTCATTTGCTCATTCATTCATTTGCTCATTCATTCATTCATTCCTTCATTCATTCATTCATTCATTCATTCATTCATACATTTCTTCAATAATCAACCTTAGTCATTTATTTGCTTTATCTGTTCCTTCTTCCATTGGTTAAACTGTTTGTTTGTTTTATTCAATTACATTATTTTGTTATTTTTTACCAGCAAACTAATTAGTGTCGGTATTATTATTGTTGTTTTTTTTATTATTATTATTGTTGTTTGTAGTGTTATTATTATTGTTGTTGTTAGCCATAATAACATCAATAGGCAGGGGAATGATTGCTATTAAATGTAACCTTTTCATTATGTTATTTTTAATGGTGGTTTGAGGTTTGCTGGTTTGTTATGCTATTGCAATCATTCATTCACCCATTCGTTCGTTCATTCATTCGTTCATCCATTCACTCATCCATCTATTCATCCATTCATTTGTTCATTCATTCATTCTTTCATTCACATATTGGTTCATTCATTTCTTTCTTCAATGGTTTTTGATGATGATGATTAAGATTACGATTACAGCTTAGTTATAATAAAAGTGATAGTAATAATAATAATAATAATGATAATAATAATAATAATAAGTAAATGTCTTTTCAGTTGATTGGACCAGTCAAGAAGATTATTATTGTTAATTATTTTTTGTTTGTGTTGGTGATTAGCCACTTAAGTTATGGTTTTCCCACAATAATAATAATAATAATAATCATTTTTACTATTATTATTATTAATATTATTATTATTTAAATTTTCATTTGATACTCTTGAAACATCTGTAATGCCAATATATTTAACACAATTGCTGTGGGTTTTCCACATGTAAATGCTTTGAACATTGTAAATACCTACAATGTATCATATTAATTTTAAATGTTAAAATAAAATGTGTGTTTACGTCTGTGTGTACGTGTTTGTTATTGTGCGTGCGTGTGTTTGTGTATATGTGTGTACGTGTGTATGTGATCATAATTTATTATGACCCATTCAGCTGGTGGTTTTCCATAGATAGAAGGGAGGCGGATAAACAGCTGATGCTGCCTGGAAATCCCAGAGGTACTTTCCTAATCAGGAAGAGTCAAGGTCATTGTTTTTTTCTTTCTGTTGTTGTTGTTGTTGTTGTTGTTTTTGTTGTTGGTTTTGTTGTGGTGATGGTGGTGTTTTTTTGTGTGTACTTCATCTTCTTCGTCGTCATCGTCATCATCATTTTTTTCTCATCATTGGGAATACCGTTGTTGTAATTGTGAATGAAATCATGACACATCATCATCATCATCATTATCATAAATCATCTACGTCATCGTCGTCTTCATCTACGTCATCTTTATCTTCATCATCTTCTTCATCTTCATCACCACCATCATCATCTTCATCATCATCAACAACAACAACATCCAGACAATAGGTCATATGCTTTATCAATAAGGGATTACGTGCAAGAATTAAGAGAAGTTACTATTAAGCATTATCGCATCAGGTTTGTATGTATGTTTGTTTGTTTTGTTCGTATGTTTGTTTTGTTCATATGTTTGTTTTGTTCGTATGTTTGTTTTGTTGGTATGTTTGTTTTGTTTGTATGTTGTGTCTGTTTGTACGTTTGCTCCTTTGTATGTATATGGGTGTGTCTTAGTGTGTTTGTATACATGTTTGTGTGGATTTATATGTGTTAGTGTACGTGTTTGTATGCATGCATGTTGATTTGTTTTTTTTTATTTGCATAAGTACGTACACTGTATGTGACAAATATTAACGACTACAAATATTAACGCACACACACACACACAAACACGCGCACACACGAACACACAGAGTTATGGATGATGGAGGTGTATACATAAGTCCTAAGAGAACATTCATAGATTTGTTGCATCTGGTTGAACATTACCAAGGTTGGTTGGTTGCCTGCAGGCTGGCTAGTTGTTTGTTTGTTTGATTGATTGACTGATTGATTGATTGATTGATTGACTTGTTTGTTTTTTATTTGCAATCTCAATCTTTTAATCACCCTATCACAACCAATCACAACCACCTATCCAAACTAATCAAAATCAACTGGCCAATCACAATCCACCAATCAATCAATCAATCAACCAACCAATCAATCAATCACAGCTCAAGCAGACGGTCTCTGCTACCAGCTGACCAAGGCTTGCCCTAAAGAGCCAGAGGCCATCCCGTTTAAAGAACTGGAAGTTGATCGGTCTGAAATCGAGAAGAGGAGTAAGCTTGGGGCCGGTCAGTTTGGAGAGGTTTGGTCAGGTTAGTCAGAGGAGTTTGGTTTTGTTTGTTTATTTGTAAAAAAAACTGTACAAATCACACTCACTCACAGAACAACAATGTACAACAACAACACAACAACAACATTTACAGGCAAATTCAGGCGTATGGTGGACGTTGCGATTAAAACGTTGAAACCCGGCTCAATGAGTCCGGAGGCTTTCCTCGAGGAGGCAAAAATAATGCACCGACTCCGACACAGGAAGCTGGTGCAACTGATGGGAGTCTGTACGAAGGGCGAGCCCATGTACATCATCACAGAACTCATGGTCAACGGCTCGCTACTTGAGTACCTGCAGAAGGATAACGGCAGGAATATTAACATCAGGTGCATCCTGGACATGGCTGCCCAGGTCGGTTGGATTGGTGGATGGCTTGTTTGTTTGTTTGTTCGTTCGTTTGTTTGTTGTGTGCACACTCATGTACATCTCTGTACTTACGTACACACACGCACGCACACACATACACAGATAGCAGACGGGATGGCTTACTTGGAGGAGCAGAACTACATACACCGAGATTTGAGGGCTGCCAACATCCTGGTCGGGGAGAACAACACCGTGAAGGTGGCAGACTTCGGACTGGCCCGCCTACTCGAGGACCCGGCCATGCACGACAACGACAACGATGCTATCTACAATGCCAGGGAAGGTGAGGAGGAAGAGGAAAGGGAATGAATGATTGTGCACACGCACATCCACAGATACACACACACGCACATCCACACACACGTACATCCACACATACACATACGCACATCCACACATACACACGCACACGTACATAAATTTTTACTCGCGCAGACGCCAAATTCCCAATCAAGTGGACTGCTCCAGAAGCCGCATTCAAGCGAAGGTTCAGTATTAAATCAGACGTCTGGTCGTTCGGTATTCTCCTGTACGAGATGATTACCTTTGGCAGGGTTCCTTATCCAGGTGAAAGCCGTTGCTGTCGTTGTTGTTGTTGTCGTTGTGGCTGTATGTGTGTTGTTGTTGTTGTCGTTGTGGGGTGTATGTGTGTTGTTAATGTTTTTGTTGTGCTGGCCTGATACTGTTGGCGCTCTTATTTTGTTGTTGTGTGTTGTTTGTAGTTACTGTCCGGTTTCCCCGAGTTCATTTGATTTATTGATTAAACAATTCTATTTAGTTGATTGATTGGTTGGTTGATTGATTGATTGGTTGATTGATTGATTGATTGATTGATTGATTGAACATTTCTACTTGATTTCTCGATATTTCAAACAATTCAATCAATCGCATCATCTCTAAATCAATTAATCAACCAACAGCAAGCACGTACACACACGCATACCAACACACAAACACACACACACGCACACACGTACACCTACACAGGAATGGATAACGCGACGACCCTACAGCGTCTACAGGAGGGCTACCGCATGCCCCGCCCATCAGGTGGCGTCATAGAGTGCCCCGTGCGTATGTACGACATGATGATCCAGTCTTGGGACAGAATGCCAGAAAAACGCCCAACGTTCGCGTATTTAAAGGATTTCTTCAACGACTACGCCACGGAAACCGAAGGCCAGTATCAACCCCAGGAGTAGGGATGTGCTGGTTTCGAGGGGGGTAGTATAAGCCCGCGGAGTAGCGGTGGGCTAATTTCGAGAGCGGATGTGCTGACTTGGAGTGTCTGTATGGTCAGTGCCCAAGTGCTACTGAGTTGTATTGTTATGGAGGTTGTTTGAGATTGTGTCTGGTGGCTGGCTGGCTCATTGGTTGGTTGGTTGATTGATTGATTGATTGATTGAGCGATGGACTAATCAAATCAAATAAATTAATGAACTAATGGATGAATGATTGATTGATTGAATGAATTGATGAATGAATGGATGGATAAATGAATGAATTATTATAATTGATTGCTACATTATTCCAATGTATTTGTGACTATCATGACGATGTGTTTAATAATTTTAATATACAAACATACACACTCACACAGACATACATACATGCATACATACATATAAAGACATACATACATATAATTGTTCATAACCACATTTTATTTGAAACAAATGAGAAATAGTTTGCCATGGTATTTTTTCAATTTAAAAATTAGTCTGTGACGACATTTTATTTAAAACATATATACATACAAACATACAAATAAACATACACACACACATACATACATACATACATGCAATCAAAAAAACGAGCAAACACACATACGACAAACCAACCACACACACGTACATTCATATGACATGCACATAATTATTGTAACTATTATTTAATATAATTATTCCTTTAATCAAATTATGATAATCGTTGTTATATTTATAATACATAGAAACATATACATGTGTGTATATACCTTGTAATTAGCTATTTAATATATATATTTACATATGTGTATATATATATATGTATATATATATATACATATACATACATACATTAGAACCTATCTCTATTCTTTTCACTGTCTAATTTATATGTATGTATATATATATATATATATATATATATACATATATATATATATATATATACACATGCATATTTGTGTATGTATATCTATATAGCTCTTTAGTCTTGTTGCTGTTAATCATGTTAAAAAAACCTTCTGTAATCTAAAAATATACAATCGCTTCGTTGATGTATAAGTTTGTATGTCTTTGTCTGTTTGTTTGTTTGTGTGTGTGGAGGGGGGAGGGAAAGGTGTGTTTAGGTTTCTGCATGTGTGTGTGTTTTTGTGTGTAATGTATATATGTGTTTGAATGATGTTTGTTGGTGTGTGTGTGTGTGTGTGTGTGTGTGTGTGTGTGTGTGTGTGTGTGTGTGTGTGTGTGTGTGTGTGTGTGTGCGCTCTTTATGTACGTATTTGATGTGTTTTTGAATATTAGTCAATCGAGCTTACATGTTTAATTTGTATGTACTATTTTGATGTACTTGTAAACTTAGACATTCGTACACAGACAAATGCACATGTACATGTATGTGTATGTATGTGTATGTATGTATGTATGTATGTGTATGTATGTATGTATGTATGTATGTATGTATGTATGTATGTGTATGTATGTATGTATGTATGTATATGTTTATCATTTTCACATTTTCAATTCTACAATATAGGAAGGAATGGAGGGTTTTTTTATTGTATATTTTTCTTGTAAAATAAATTTTTTTCTTATTTTTTTTTTTTCAAATTTTTCGTTAATCTTCTGTTGAAAGGTTTTTGATGGTGAAGATGATGGTGATGATAGCTAAGATGATGATGATGGTGATGATGATGGTAACTTGGAAGAAGATGATGATAATGGTTATATCATTGGTGTCTTTTGAGATTGTAATTTTGATAATGATGATGGTCAGCGGTATTGTGGTTATATGATTATTATACAATGGTGATGGTGAAAATGATAGTGATGATACGATGGTGATGGTGATGGCTTAATTGTTTGTGTGTGTGTTTGTATGTATGTGTGTGTGTATTTATAATGTAACCAAGAACCATACATATATAGTATATTATACATATATATATATAAAAAGAGATTTTTATTCATTTCTATTAAAAATATTTCTGCTTTTTGAATGTATGTATGTATATGAATATGTATATGTTAGTGTATATGTATATGTATATGTATCTATGTGTATTTCTTTGTAGATTTATACAACAGTGTATAAATGTATGCACTTTCTGATTGTGTGTGGGTTTTTTTTTTGTTTTTCCAGGTGTGTTTTCATGTTTGTTTGCTTTTTTTTTGTGTGTATGTATGTATGCATGTATGAATGTTTGTTTGTTTGTTTGTATGTATGTGTTTATAATTATGTTTGTTTAATTTTTTGTAGTTGAATATACATTCATGTCCATAGTGTTGTAATTTTATTTGTTATTATTAATATTGTTATTAATATTAATATTATTATCGTTATTTATTATTATACTTTTTATTAATTATTATTAATTATTATTGTTATTATTTGTAATTATTATTAATTATTGTAATTATGTTACAGTGGATTCTGTTGTTAACAGTATAAGATAGTTTCGTTACCTACTATGTTCCATAGGTTTGTTATCATATTATTATTATTATTATTATTATTATTGTTATTATTATCATTTTAATATTATTATTGTTGTTTTTATTATTATTATTATTTCTATTTTCCTGAAAGTATATAAAGATTTTTTTAGATTTAAAATATTGCGTTGTCTCTTCATAGTGATAATATCAATAATAATAATAAATAATATTAATAATGATAATTAATAATAATAATAGCTATAATATTAAACCGAATGAAATTCGCGGTTGTCAGCTGACGAACAAGCAAACAATCAATCAATAATTCATTCATTCATTCATTCATTCGTTCGTTCGTTCAATCAATTCTTCACTCATGAAAATGTCATGGAGCAGCTGAGTGGTTCAAGTATGTTGATACCGACAACAGTTAACAAAACTACAACAGCCACCACTTCGGCTACTACTGCCACCAACGCTACTACTACTACTACAATTACTACAAACATTGCTGCAACAACGATATATATATATATATATGTACATCTATCTTGTATATATATATATATTTATATGATATTATTTATTACATTTTTAATATGAAAATATAAAAATGGCATAATAAAATGATATTATCGATATAGGAATTTTTTTCATTATAGTTGAGAGGATAATTTTCAAGATCCTTCATTTCGAGACCCCAATCGTTATTTTTATTATTATTATTATCATCGTGGCCATCGTTATCATCAGTTTCGCGTTTGTAGATTGAATCCGTGCTGGAATGTTTGAATCGGAAGTGGACGGATCCTATCGCTAACGCCCATCCATCCTTATCGATACCGGAACTTTTTTCAGGTACCATCACCGAATCCGAATCGGTATTTGGTTTACTATTATTCGTGTCATTTCCATTTCCGGTTGCTTCCTTGCCATCTTCTATAATAACGAAATCGTCGAATTCATTGTCGGTATTCTGGAGCGCGTTACCCGTGTTTGATTCGACTCGATTCGGTTTTGAATTGAATAATGTGCACAGGCACATCTCCGAATCATATACTACTACAACTGCTTCTGCTGCTGCTGTAGCTACTACTGCTACTACCACTACCACTATTATTAATAACAATAACAACAAGATAAAGAAGCACTTATATGGCGCCATATTTTTTAAGTTTCAAGTTTTTTTTTTTGTAAAACAAAAAAATTTTTTTGAAAAACAAATATTGGTAGGTTTTAATGTAAATAGTAACGATTGGGATATCAAACAATGTCTTTAGTTGCTACTACTACTACTACTACTATTACCGCCACTACTACTACTATTACTACTACTACTACTACTAATACTAATACTACTACTACTAGTTTTTCTAACAAAATTACTTATATTAATTACAACAGTGTTACAAACAAATAAACGTTCATCATTTTATCACAAGCATCATCATCATCACCTAATAATTATCGTCATCATTATTACCTAATCATTATCATCATCTCGTCATCATCATCATCATTACTAGCAGTTAATCATTATTACCAATAAAGAATTCCATCCCCTCAGTTTTATAAAGCATTCCTGGATTTATAAAATTGTCAACCTTTAAATACCCGAAGCTACATGAGACTTGCAATGTGGTGTTGATTTTTTTGCAGGTACTTTTATCCGCAATATCAACCCATTCATCAAAAGTAACTCTTTTGAACATTATGCACCTATTTTGGTGGGTAAGCGATGTAATATTTTAAAGGTGTTCTGCTGTCCATTTAATTGATTTAAACTTAATTATTATTATTAGCAGTGACTGACTGATTGATTGATTGATCGATCGATTGATTGATTGATTGACTGGTTGATTGGTTGCTTGATTACAATTATAAACCAACAAATTCATAACAATATCTTCATAACCCTAACAAAACGAAACCTGCACATAGCTACATCAACTTCGGTTTTTCCCGATACTAAATTTAGATTAAGGGATTGACCCAAAGACGTATAGGAAATAAGATGAAACGCTTCACACGGTTTTGTGACGTAGCAAGTCAGGGCGCAATCCACTTTTCGGCAGTAGGTCAAGGACGTTTCGCCAATCTTTGCTGGGAAGAGACTGTCTGAGGGTGTAGTAGCGGAGACTTGTGATCGGTCAACTGGTTAATAATAATAATAAATAATAATAATGATATACAACAATTATAATAAATAATATTAATTATAATAATAATAATAACCTGAGTCTTCGATGCCATATGCAGAATTAAAGAAGCAAAGAAAAATCGCCGTATAACAAACAATAATAAGAAAATTATTTACCTTAACCATATTTTTAGTCATAATAAAATTTTCGAAATTATATTATGACGCCAGTAATAATATAATTATAGCAACAAAGTGTTAAAAGTAGAAACGCTATTTTTAATTTGAAGCAATTCAATTTTTGTTATTTCAAGAGAGGTTTCGCCATCAGGGTATATGTATACATGACATGTGTTCGTGTGTGTGTGTGTACATGTGTGTGTGTGTGTGTGTGTGTGTGTGTGTGTGTGTGTGTGTGTGTGTGTGTGTGTGTGTGTGTGTGTGTGTACGAGAGGGAGTACGTATTTACTTTCATAAAGGAATGAAGTGAAAAAAAATTTATTTTCAAAACTGGTTGTTAGTTCATTTGCCTTGTAAATACGAGAATTGAAGGGCTGGGCGCTGTAATCCGTACTACCATTTTCATCATCAGCCTCCTCTTTTTCATCTTCATCATCATCTTCTAGATTATCATCATCATCATCTTCGTCATCATCGTCGTCGTCTTAGCAATCAACGAATTCATTCATATAAATATATTATATATACGAAAAAAAGGTTTGCAGCACTACAAACAAATAGAAACAAGTTATCATTATTATTCATGAATACTCGTAAATATTCATGAATACTCATAAATATTCATGAATTCATATAAATATTCATAAAAACTTTAACAATTGAATTAAATATGTATATATATATATATATATATATATATATATATATTATTGTAATGAATTATAAAATTCACATATATGGCATACGCTGAAGAAAATATTTAAAAAACAAACATGGAAAAAATGAAGACCTTTTGAATGGATGAATGAGTGAATGGATGAATGGATGAATGAATGGATGAACAGATGAATGAATAGATGAATGAATGGATGGATAAATGAATGAACGAATGGATGAATGAATGAACCACCAAATGAAAGAATGAAAAATTAATGAAACACTTATTTATGAAAAATTGTGCACACGTTTGTTTAAAAGATAAAAAAAATGATTATAATTATTATTGTTGTTGTTGTTGTATTTGTTGCTGTTTATTAAGGCTGCCATCATCGCCGTCGTTGTTGTTGCTACTCATCGATGTTATTATTATAATTATTATTGTTCATTCACTCTCTTTCTCCTTCTCTCTCTCTTTCTTTCTCTCTCTTTTTCTCTCTCTTTCTTCCTCTCTTTCTTCTTCTCTTACGAATACATGGTCGTCTGTATAAACTGAATAAGGAAAATCATAAAATATATTAATTATTACTATTAATATAGTTAATTATAGTTTATTTTTATTATAGTCTTATCGTGACAATTAATCACAATATATATACCTGATCTAGTGTCATACAAGCGGGCCCAGGACCGGTCCTTACTAACTCGTCATAGATAGCTTTTGAATAATAATAATAATAATAATAATTATTATTATTATTATTATGAGAGTTATTATTATTTCTATTATTATCGTCGTCG